TAATAGTGCTTTATAGTAAAGGACTAATAGATAAACGTTACTCTTAGGCACACTAAAGGAATTAGGACTTATATATAGAGTAGACTTAGACGTACTTAAGGACAGCCTCTTATAGCTCTTTAGTAATTAACTTATAATATATTCTTTAAATACATTTTTAGTATTTAACCTTAGTGATTTAATTAATAAGAGCTATATAAGCTACTCTAATAACTAGTAACTACCTAACTAATTACTAAGTAATTAATAGACTAGTAAAGACTTATATTACTATTACTAAGTATTAACCTCTGCTTACTATTAGTAGAAACCCTACTGTCTTGAAACTAACTATAATATATTAGTATACTATACTTTATTCTTATTATCCTTATAATCTTCTCTACTTCTTTTAAACTATCCTTTAAGCTTAAAAAGGAAATTATTAAGGTTAGTCTAGTTATTTCTCTTATACTAAATAGGTATAAGTTATTTTACTAAATCATAGCCTTAGTAGTAATTTAGCTTTATATCTAAAGGCCTATTAGTTATACCTCTAAGGGCTATAGTAGTCCTCTATATAAGGTATATATTACCTTAAGCCTTCTTTTTCTCTATTTCTTAGATCTACTTAATTATCTTTCTCTTTCTTATTTAAATACCTATCTCTATAAGGATATATTATAACTGTTTCTCTATTATCTTATTATAGTTAGTTTTATCTTATTTCCCTTTAGTTAGTTATTTAGTTATTATACTATTAGGTATTAGTTTACCTTACTATTATATAGAAGTATTAGTATATAAGTACTAAGTAGCCCTTAATTATACTTTAGTTTCTATTATTACTCTAATAGTTAGCATACCTATAGATAGGTAGAGATTTAAATATATTAGAAGGCTAAATTATACTAAGTAAAGGAGTTAATAGTTAGTAACCTAAGGGGTAGTAGTAACTATGATTTAAGTCTACCTCCTCCTAAGTATAACTATTACTAGTTTTTACCCCCTTTTATATACTTTAGTAGATCCTAAGGTATATGTTTCTTTTAATATAACCTATAGTATAGGGCTAGTTAGGCGCTAGTAGGCCCTCTCTCTCCTATAATTTTAAACATAAAAGAGGTCTAAAAGTTATCTAAAGATATTATATAAGTTAATTACTAAAAGGCTGTAGAAGGTAATTAATCTAACTAAAATAAATATACCTTTATATTGTTATTCCTTTAAATCTTTTTAGGTTATTACTAATCCTTAGTATAAGATTAGTTACCTAATATTTTAATTCCAAGTATAAGGTTAGTTTAGCTTATAAATAATCCTACTAATTTATTATATAATCTTCCCTTAGGTCTTCTATTCTATTAGCTATACTTTACTTATATATTATAAGTGTCTTACTGTCTAGTAGTTTTTACTACGCCTGTTTAGGCTATACTAGTTACTAATAGATTCTTAGCTTATAATACCTCTTTAGACCTTTTATTCTAGAGGATTTATTCTATATAATACTATTCTTTTAGGTGTTATATCCTTTTAAACCTATTTATTAAATAGATATATAATATCTAAAACTAGATAGATAATAATTTATTTAAGAATAATAATTAAAATAGCTTATATTACTTAAGAGTACCTATATAATAATATACGTCTATATATAAGATATTAGGTTAAGTTAGAATAGCTATTACAGGATAAATAGCCGACCTTAGACCTACTTCTTGGCCTTGCTAGTAGATCTATTAGTCAGGCCGATATCCTGCTGACTAGTAGGTCCTCACAGGTACCCTCTTTATCCCTACCTGTTAGCAGGCTATAAGACGGCCGCTACTAGCTATAGCCTTACTAGCTCCTAAATAGTTAACTAATCTATTACCTATTAGACCGTATTAAGTGGTAGTATAACTACGTTATAATCTATAGGTAATAACCCTCTGCTACTATTAACTAACTTAATAAGAGGTAAATACGCTAATTACTAGTAGCTATTTAATTAGTTATCTTAGTAACTAATTAGAAGCCTATATTCCTTTACTAACTGGTCGCTAATATACGCCCACTAGTAGAGTTTTTTACCTAGCCTAGCCGTGGCTAACACCACCGCCGCTAGAGCTCCTAATCTAGCCGGAGCCGCTATCTCTCTAGCTAACACACTTACGTTTAATAACCTTACTTTCTTTACCCTTCTTTTTCTCTATTATACTCCTTTTTACTATCTTTTTTACCTATTAATCTATTAAATATACTGCTACTAGAGCTACTGTTAATTAAAGAGCTTAAGAGATAATAACAGTAAAGTCGCTAGCCTAAGCCTTACTAGAAGTGTAATACTAGATTTCCCTTATAATCTACGCTTTCTTACTATATATATATAAATAACTACACCTATTACTACTAACTTTACTATTAAGACTTTATATCTTAGAAAGCCTTTTTCTACTATCTACTAGACTATAAGCCCCTATTACTATTACCTACTTAAGCCTTACTATTATTATTAACTTTACTATTACTACTATTAATTATAATAATCTTATTACTACTTTTACTTATAAGTAAGTAATCTATATTACTAGTACTACTAACCCTTCTTACTACTATAAAACTTAACCTAGCTATTAAGGCTTTTTATAAAAAAGTAGCTGTTACTACTAAATAAAGTAATAGCCTATTATTACTACTATTATTACTACTAAGGGACACTTCTTTACTACTAAGAGATACTTCTCTACTACTAAGATACACTAAACTATTATAGCTAACACTACTACTATTACCTAAATACTTTAAGCCTAACTTATTACTATAGGTATATAAGTATATAAAAACACTAAGGAGGCATTTTAAGGCACACACCTAAGACTACTAGTAACAGCTAGGAGGATTTAGAGGATATTACCTACTAGGAAGTAAATCTCCCCTCTACTAGTAGATTTAGGACTAAAAGAAAAGAAGCTAGCTCTAGAGGTAATATGCTTTTAACTATTTACTAGTACTACCTTATAAAGCTACTTAGTATAAAGGTTAAGATACCTTTAATAAAAGGGAAAATAATAAGGATAATAAGGAGGAAGATAATAAAGATAATAATATTAGCTATATAGTAAAGACTAGTCTTTAGGATAATAATAGATTATCCTACTTAATAAGGGAATATTATAATAACTATAATAAATATCCCTATAAGTTAGATTAATTAACTTAGGCTACTTATAGCTAACTAGCCTATAGCTAGCCTGCCTATAGCCTACTAGCCTTACTAGCTATTTTATCCTTACTAGCCTAGCTGTTATATAGATACTAATTACCTAGCCTATCTATATATTAACCTAGCCAGCTTATATACCTACTACCTAGATATAATAGTAATAGTAACTAGGACTATAGTAATAATAATAATACTATTAGAAATAAGGACTTTAATAACTATAAATATAAGTATAGTAATAGATATACTAATAAATATAGAGAAAAAGGTAACTATAGTAACTATAGTAACTATAATAACTATAATAACTATTAACCTTAGGTATAACTTTATATAGCTATAATAGCTATATAGAAGCCTAAGATCTATAGTTAGATTAGGTTATTATACTACTAGTTAGGTAGTTTCCTTTTTCTTTTCTTTTTTTCTTCTAAATAATTACTATATAATAATTATTTTAATTAAGGGGGGGCACTTATTACAGGACAAATAGCCGACCTTAGACCTACTTCTTAGCCTTGCTAGTAGATCTATTAGTTAGGCTAATATCCTGCTAACCGGTAGGTCCTAGCGGGTACCCTACTTGTCCCCACCTGTTAGCAGGCTATAAGACGGCCGCTACTAGCTATAGCCTTACTAGCTCCTAGATAGTTAACTAATCTATTACCTATTAGACCGTGTTAATAGCTATAGATATATTAAAGTATAAAGTAAGGCCAATACTAAAAGTAGTTAATATATAAAGGTATTATAACACTTTAATAAAGCCTTATAAAGCTTATATTAATTAGTATAGTATAGTATTGTCCTCTTAAAAGCTATCTAATAGATAGAATAAATAGAATCTATATCTAGAAGTACTTATTAAAGCTTATACTTAGTATATTACCTTTAAGTAAAAGAAATAATACATTTTAAAAAATAGCGGTATCTAGTAATGTCTAGTAATTAAATAAATATATAGAAAAAGTTATAGTGTCAATAAAGGAGGAGAAATATAGGACGTTTAGGTGTTATAGAAGTAGGGTAGTATATATATAAGGTAGTTAAGTTAGTAGGTAACCTACCTATTTAACCTAGTATAGAGGCTTAAAGTATTTCTATTTATATAATAAGTAGACTAGCTCTTATAATAAGAGTTATAGCCTTAATGAATAGAAGAGAGAATATATTATATACAAGGATATATATCTAATAGAAAGAGGAATATAGTATATAAGAGGTATAACTACAGATATCTAGGGTGAGTATATAATAGATATAAGGATATAGTATTAAAGAAAGTATAATAGTTAGATTAATACTATATTCCTTAGCTCTTTATTTACCTAGAGAAGAAATAGAAGACTTAGAAAAAGAAAGAACTCTAGCCTTTATATAGATATATCTAGCTTACTAGAATATTTTATACTTACCTAAGCTACTTATAAAATAACCTAATAGATATATAAGGTAATAACCTAAGTTAAATAACTCTAACTTGAAGAAATAATCTAGATAGTTAAAATAAAGTTATAAGGAGAAGAGAAGCTATTTTAAATACTTCTTTTAGATTTAATGCAATTTTATAATTATCATATATATATAATTAACATATATATTAGTCCTATATCTTAGTAGATTATTAATATATATAGACTATAAATAAAAATCTTTATAATAAAGGAAATTTAAGCAAAAGGTTAGAGAGCTTTAAAGAAGCTCTACCTTCTAACAATTTTACAACCTAATATAATATTAATCTTTTAGTCATTATAATTCTAAATCTAATTATCTATAACCAGTATAGTGTTAATCTTTACACTAGTAATTACCTTTGTTGAAGTAATCGCTCTATATTATTACGAGTTTGTGTAACATCACACCCCGTAAGAACCCAGCCGCTATTGCTTGGTCTAGTCCCGATTATCACGTTTGGAGGCTGCCTGGGGTCCTTGCCACTCTTATCGCAACTAGCAGGTTGGAGTTTGCCTGCACTTCTACCTCGAGCGCCTCTCATCTCGGTATCAAGGTATTCCAAAACAGCAGTTATATGGTTAGCGTCGCCTAATTCTAATGTCGGCGCAGGCTCTCCAGCGAACTCCCCCACTAATATATTCGCCACACGATAGTGGGCTGTACCAGAATGCCAGGTTAGTTAAAGGGTGTTTAGGCTAGACTTCAAAACACCTAGGTATCTAAGAAAAAAAATAAAGGAACCAGTACTTACATCTTTGGGAATGTTCCTTGAAGGTCTCGCTTCTAGCGGCACTCTCAAGCATGGCGTGAACGCTTTTGCGGAAATTATTGTCGTCTAAGCGGGCGTTGACAACCAGGTTGAGAAACTCGTCCTCGTCGGCTGGTATGTTCTTCAGCTGTACCTCCTTGGCAGCATATGGATTGGCTTCTTTGATAAGGCTGGTCCAGAAAGGGTCACGAAGAGACATTTTAATATCTGTTTCGGGGAAGTATCGCTTGCACCAAGCAAGGGACTGAGAGCCAGCTCCAGGGTTCGAGAATGTTGGAACATTTTGGGTAAAGATTAACCGAGCAATCGGGTGCTTAGTCTGGAGATGTTGCTGGAGTGTTGCATGAAAATTGGCTTGTCTCTCAGCCAGGGCCAAGCTTTCTGCAGGCTTCATGCCCTCGTACGCAGATCCTTGACGGGAGTTGTATCCATAGAAGAGGTGGTAGACATTGATGTTTGGTAACATGTTTATGAAGTCCCAAACATCTGTGTCTCTGCATGGAGCAAGCTGGAAAATGTCGATAGAAGGCTTTTGACTTGCAGTTTTGGCGATTGATGCAAGCAAGGTTTTTCCTGTAGCCACTGGAAGATTCCGGCCTGGGCTGAGGTCCTTGTACCAACGTTCATGGGCAACGGCTTTTCCCATCACGTTGGTCTGCGTTTGGAACCATTCCGTTCGCTTCCTCCAATCGGCCGGCAAGGCAGGATTATGCTTCTCTGCGCGCTGTAAATACTGTGACATTCCTTCGGCTATCTTATTTCGATCCGCAGCGCCAGTAAACACCAAGTAAACCTTTTCATACCGAGGTTTGCCAAGACTTTCTACATCACGCTTCTGGAGTGCGGCTGCAACGGCCGCTTTGTCGTCCATTTTTGTATCGGTGAGAAGAATTGCAACCCTGGCTGAGAACACTGTTTGGGCAAAAAGCCAACAAACGAGGCCCAAAATAGAGAGATGGGACGCTATAGCCATGGTTGTCGAGAAAAGGAATTAGAGAATCAAAAATCAAAATCGATAGCCAGGCTATTGAGGCTTGGATGATTGAGAAACAGGGCAGAAGTTTGAGAGGCCAACGACAGAACGATATTTATATTCAAGAGGACAGATATGTAAATAAATCTGATAACATTAGCAATCAAGCAGACTTTTCTGCTCCACTGCTGCTGCTAAACTAGAGTTGTTACCTAGTATATAGCGCAATTTGAGCAGTTTCTTAGTTTACAGGGTTTTTTCAAGGCTAAGATAATGTGTTGGTGTTTTGTTGTAGAGATGTAAACACTAAGGTATCGGGACGGCCGTAGCCGCTTTTAAGCCACCCACTTATTAGAGTTTTCGGCCCGCGGTGATTCCTATTACTGGACAAATTGCATAACGTCATTTTGTCTGGAAGATATCAAAATAGCAGTAGTCTAATGACCTGGTGGATTATACCATCGGCGTGTCCGAGTTACTGTGTAGATTTCTTAGTACTGACCCTCTATATGGCCGGTGAGACAAGATTGAATAAGCATTTGTGTGGAAAATAGTACGGTCTACAGACATGAAGGATATAGGCTTTTACTTCTAATGAAAACGATTATGCGCCTAATTAGCTACTTGCCATTCATTAGGCTTAATGAACCTACTGATATTTCCTAATCTTCCGTCTTAAGAGGGCTCTCTAGTACGGAGGTGCATTTCAAAAAACCATGCCCAACTGCCCAGAGCAACCCCGGCCAGTAGGACCCACTTAATATATATCCAACCAATCAGAAAGGCTAGATTAATCCACCCACTTTCCTCTCTATAGGGGCCAAAAGGGGCTAAAGCAAGGCAATCCTTAACAACAATAATAACAACAATAACAACAACAATAACACCACTTTTTCCCCTTTAACTATCACAACTATAGCGCGTGTTAACCCTTCTTTACAGGCAGTTATTCTTGCCCTTCAGAGCCGTCTTAGAGGTAAATCAGCTAACAAAGTAGCCTAAGGCCTAGGGTTATTAAAGCGTATAGTTAATAATATACTCTAATAAGTAAAAAAGTAAGGCTTTAATCTAACTGCTCCTACCTTCTTTTTATAACCTAAATATATTAATAATACCCCCTAGACTAGCTAACTAAAGAAGGCTACACCTATAGTAGCTAAGCTTATTATTAAGAAGGTCTACTATAACTAATATAGTAAGAAAAAGACGTATACTAATATTACTAGTAAGCTTTAAAGTAAGTAAGATATAGATATCTTAGCTATAATAGTCTACTATATCCTTTAGTAAGCTAGCTTTAGAAAATCTAAACTAATAAGGAAGCCTAGCTTAATAGCTTAAATAAAGTAAGAGAGGCTTTTTTAGTGCCTTATATATTACTACTAGTTACTTAAAGATTAAAAAAAGGTTATTTAGTCTAATAAGACCTTAGTAGTCTTAGGCTATTACTATAGTAGCTACTATCTATAGTAATAGGTATATAAGGCCTATATAAAGTTATATATTTATACTTAATAAAAAGGATATTTTAAGTTTATATTTTAGGGCTACTTTATATATAATAAAAAAGGCCTTTCTTACTACTAGTTACCTAAGTTAGTAGTAATATAGTAGACTACTAATACTAAGGTTATAAAGATAAATACTACACTAAAGCTAGTTAAGCGTCTTAAATAGGAGTTAAAAAGGGAGATAAGCAGGCTTTAGCTCTAGTAGCTCCCTAGCTATAAACTAACTTTTTACTAAAATAAGTATACTAGTAAGTTAGTTTATAAAAGTAAGAGAGGAATTAACTAGTACTAGTACTAAAAAGAGATTTTTTTACTAAAGCTTTTCCTATTTATACTTAAAGAGTACCTACTAAGCACTATTATCTAAGAGGATAAGACACCTTCTTATAATTACTACTTTATCTACTAGATATATACTACTTATTATATTAAAAAGCTCTACTAGTATAGTAATAGCCCTAATCTTAACCTTATTAAGCCTTACTAGCCCTAAATAAAGCAATTTATAATAAGGAAGGGTGCCCTAGTTAACTAAGCTATAGCTAAAAAAGCATAATAACAATACTAGCAGGCCTTACCTTAAGAGTAAATCTAGGCCTAGATAGAGAGGCTACTAGCCTATATTAAGGCTATTATTACTCTTAATAGTAGTAATAAATATAAGGAGGGGCGTTATACTAGTAGATATTAATTAGAAGTTCTAGGCGGGCATTGTTGAAATGTTAGTAGCAATTTATTTAGGTGGCAACCCCTGCAATTATCCTTATTAACTGACATAAGGTGGTCTTGGCATTTCTAGCATAGTGATTTGAAACGCACCTCCGTACTAAGGCCGTAATAAGTCTTCTAAGTAAAACTTTAGTGACGGCTGTACTCTAGTAGGAAAATATAGACAGGTTAAGTAATTTAAGATTTAATATAGGGTCTAATTTCTATAAAGTTACATTACTACCTTAATATAAATTATTAGTTACTATAATTATCTTTCTTTATTTAAATTTAATAAGTTTATACAGTAAAGATAGAATTTCTAGACCTCTAGATTAAATAGTAGTATTATAAAGCTAGCTAATAAATTAAAGTCACTTAGTTAACTTTTATAGTGTTTATTTAGTATTTAATATGTATTTTTACACTAGACTACTATAGGCTACCTAGACTAATTTACCTAGTATATATTATAATTATAGTATATTTACCCTAAAGAAGTACCTCTAGGCTATACTATACCTTAAAAGTCTAATACGTTATTTATACTAAATAAGTTAAAGTAAGTACTAACTTAGACCTTACCTTAACTATAGTAGAACTTACTCTTATGTACCTATAAATTAGTATAGTACCTATATAGTAGTATAGTATCTATATATTAATAATAGTAATAAGTTATTATTATAAGATAAAGGCCTAGTTATCAAGACTATAGCTATAGCTATATAGGACTAATTCTACTACTAATATATAAGCCTTACTAAGGGCATACTAGTAGCTAACCTAAAGATCCTATAGAGATAGTTACTTCTTTTTATACTTTTCTTTCTTTCTTCTTTAGTTAGAAGTAAATAGTAATAGAGGTACTTTACTAGTTAAACGTACTATAGAGCTAACTCTTTATATACTTCTAACTCTCCTCTAATAAAGATAATTAGATTAAATATAGCTTTCTATTAGATTAGTAATAAATAATAGTATAATAGTCTTACTTAAGATACTAATAAGAGAGATAGTTAACCCTCTCTATTAATAAATTACTAAACTTATTAGTAAGCTTAACTAATATTAATAGGTAGTATAATCTATAAATATAACTACCAAAGGTACTATTACTCCTATAGTAGCCTTACTAAGAAGCCTTATTAGAAACTACTTCTATTACTACTAAAATTCTTTAGTAAATAATATATATACCTAGTATAGATATAATAGATAAAAGATAAGATTCTAATAGATAAGGACTTATATATATTAAATTATAAAGTTTAATACCTTATTAACTTCTATTTTAATATTAGTCTCTAGTAGATAGTTACTACTTTCTATAGTACTAAAGGTAGTAATAGACTAAAAGAACCTAAAGACTTTATAGCCTATCTTAACTATATATATCTAGACCCTAATACCTAACTAAAGGCTATAGCTAGTATCTATAGCTTATAGTAAAAGGATAATAAAAGCCTTATAATCTTCTTTCTAAAGTTTAAATATACCCTTATAGAGGTAGAGGGAAACTAATAATTAGTAAAGGTCTAAGTATTCTTATCGAAGACCTCTTTAAACTAAAGATTAAAGAAATACCTTATTATAGTTAATTTTCCTTATAATTACTTTAGATAGCTATCTAAAGTTTAAAAAGTAGTTTAAAGAATAAAGTATATAAAGGTATTAATCTATAAGATATACCTTAAGAGATTCTCTATTACTTTATTAGTACTAAATAAGGATAAAGATATATATATAATAGGTTTAGTTAGAGTTACCTTAACTATATATATAAAACTAAATAAAATAAAAACACCTAAGTCTAAATAATAAGGGAGCTCCTTAAGCTCTAAGGGTTATTAGAACTAATATATCTACTTTATATATCAAAAAGTTAGATATACTACTATAAATTACTATTATAAGGTCTAAAAGCTAAAGTATACTACTAAGGTTATAAAGTAGTCTATTTAAAGTAAGACTAAGAAAGAGTTAGAGGCTATTGGTTACCCCTCTAAGACTAAGAAGGAATTAGAAAAAAAGTAACTCTAAGGTAAAGTTAGGTCTTAAAGCCTACTAAAGAAGAGATAAGTAGGTAGAAAAAGTATAAGAAGAAACTAAAGGGTACTAGCTTATTAGTACTCCTATAAGTAAGAATTAATATAGGTTATAAAGTCTTCTCTTTAATAGATATAGACTATTAGACCTACTTTATAATTAACCTATCTTTAGTTTACTAGCTTTATCTACTACTTATTAAAGAAGAAGAATACCTCTAAGAGGGTATAATAAGGATAACCTATTACTAAGTAATACTTTAGGTATAATTATCTTTAATCTAGAGATTAGTAGTTATATAGAGAGAATCTCCTTTTATATAGTTAAAGGTCTTAAACTAAAGATCTATCTAAAGATACTTTAGATAGTATATAATTAGGTAGTTTTTAATACTACCTCTAAGTAGCTATACTACTAAAAGGGATATATAATAGTACTTATAATTAATAAAAAAGAGCTAACTACTATAAAAGAAATATAGTCTATAAGACTAACTAATACTACTACCTTTAATACCTTATACTAAAGGATTATAAGGGTAAAAAGGCTAATTAAATATTATAATACTACTACTTTAATTAGGGCTATAAGTTTAGTAGATATTAACTAAGCCTTAAACCTAGAGAAGAA